GATCTCATTGAGTAAAAGTGCTGTGCGAAAGAGCCATAACTCTGCCTTGCCGTCTAATTTTGGAGTTATTGCCCTGTGTTTATTTTTACACTTTGAACTTTGTCCGGGACATAACTCTGAAATTATAAGAGATATCAACATGAAACATTGTAGGGAGATAGATCTCATTGGGTAGATAAGCAGTGCAAAGAACAGTAACTATGGAATTATTGCACTTGACTTTGAACTTTGTCCGGGACATAACTCTTAAACTACAAGAGGTATACTTTTCTGTGTCAAAAACCTATGCGAGGTGCATCACCTGTTTAACGGGTTCTTATTTCATTTTCTTAGTTAAAAAATTTTGCTTTTAAAAATGTTTTATTCTGGTAACTACCAGGGATGTTTAAAGATTTACCCTCAGTCCATCTGTATGTCCGTTCCTAAAAACTGTTTCCTGAGATCGCTTCTAAAAACATTAACTAAGGAAAAGTTGAAACATTAGTTATACTCATCCTTATATTATATATATATATATATATATATTATAGTTATATTCATCCTGAGAAAATTGGTTCTTTTGGTTATCTGTTGTATAAAACATAATTTCCCTACCAGGCAGGGAAACTTAACCTATTGCTATGATACAAGACAAACTGAGAACTCAAAAGATTTAACTTCATTCATGTCATTCATTCATTCAATGGCATAATTGAAGGGTAGGGGACTGATGGATTGCTTGCAAAACTATGGTAATTGCTTTTTTAGGTTTCGAAACTGAATACGCATTTAAATTTTCCTTTCGAAATATATTCTTTCTATATAAATGCATATTACCTTCTATGTCTATCAAATATTTGTTTGAAAAAGTATACTTCTGGGTAGTTAAAATGTTCAAAGGTTCATAGCCATCCGGTTAGCTCAATAAGTAGAGCATTGGGCTGTGAATCTGGCGTCCCGGATTCGATTTCCGGACGGTTACTTCCGTTGTGATTAATCATGAAATCCCTTCTACGGTATTTCGCACTGTACCTCTGCACTGGCATGTACAAAAGTTTCAGTTCCTTGCGGGTCCGGTGGCTGAACTGTGCTATAATAATTGTTAAAACGGTAAACACTACCTGCAAAAATGAGATATTTACAGTCTGACGTATAGCTTACTGTTCTGTAACGGGTATATTTTTGGTATATTTTAGTCTTTTTATGACAAGAATAGAACATCTCTTGTACAAGAGGACCATCAAAATAAATTGCTATCTGCTAAAGTTCTCACTGAAGAAAGATACAATGGTAAGTATTTATGCTCCTTAATAAAAGCACTCAACTGAGTAGCGGGGCAGGCAAAACTTTTCGAGATTAATTTTCCGTTTTGGTTTATGCAGAATTTATTTTAGTTCGATTGTGTAGGAAGCTTAAAGTATAAAGACACAATATCGAATCCATTTCTGGAACTAGTCAGTACTAAGTAATTATAGAAATGTTTCTTGCTCAAGGAAACAACGGCTTGCCCTTAATGAGCTTGAACCCGCGCGGAAAGCGATCCTTAGATTACTAATCCGGCGCGTTAATCACTCGGCCATGCTGTCACTCTAATTGTCCATTTGATGTAGGTTTAGAATAAACCATTAATGTAGATCTAGACCAATAACTTGTGTTGAAATTTTTTAGATCAATTGGTTACTCCATTTGCCAGAATAATTATTCCCCTTGTAAACCGATCCAAAACTAGAAAACTGAATATGTTATTATTATGTCATTAACATAATTTAAAACTTAAGATGCTTAATAAAATCTCTTTTTGAATTACATGTACAATAGTTAAAACAAGACATTGATTAATAATTCTAAACTTATAATGTATTGATTTTATAACTTTTTTGTTTCGTTTAACCATGCAAGAATTGAAGTCTGCGTTTGAGAAATGTGATAGAGACGGAAGTAACTGCATAGATGCAAGTGAACTTAAAGATGTTCTTATTTCGCTTGGGAAAAATCCAACAGATGAAGAAGTTGAAAGTATGATAGCATCAGTTGATGACAATGGTAACGAACCATTTATGTCTTTGTTTGAACTGATTACGGTTGACGTTTTACATTTAAAATATGCAATTTAATATTGTTTTTATGTCACAATTTATTTAATAGGGGTTTTTAAAAGCGTTGTCACTTCAAGATGAATCTTGAAATATGTTATTAAGCGAGTTTGTTTGGGGTTTTACAACAGGAATGAAAGTCTATAAGTGAAATTTTTAAACAATAATTAAATTATAATCATAAAGCCACGAGCGACGAAAATGGTAGTTACCGGTCATGGACCATTTTTATATAAAAATGTGCAATATAAAGAAATGCATAATGATTTTGACATATAGAAAAACAACGTTTTAACTACGAAATAAAATGAAATGTTATCATATAGTATGGACACTTCCAAACAGGTAACGGTACAATTGAATTTGAGGAATTTATACACCTAATGGAAGATGAAGAACGTTCGTTTAAAACGGAAGATCTAATGCGGCAAGCGTTTAGTGTTCTCGATCCGGAAGGTATGGGATATCTAACCACTGAAAGACTAAAACAAGTTGTAACTAATCTTGGACTTGACATGACTGATGATGAAATAGCCGAGATGATGGAAGAAGCGGACCCTGGCGGATCTGGAAAAGTCGAATATGGCGGTAAATAAAACCTGATTGTTTTCATATATATTCACCTGCTTTCATATGTTTACCACTTTCCCAGCAATTTTTATACTCAAACAGCAAATGTTCAGTGCTGTGTAACATCAATATAAAATTTGCCTCGTTCTTTTTGTTCTGGCCATTTGGGATCATTGATTCTAATAAAAGAAGAATTAACTGAGTTACCAACGTCCCCCGCCTCAGGGAAGTTTTATATGAAGCATAAAATTGTGCTATTTCAAAAGTAGAGGTATGGATCTCAGTACTTTCAGTCCAAAATTATGATCAATGCTAGATCTGCAAATGCAACAATAAATTTATAAAAGAAATACCAGTAAAATGAAACACGGAATTTAACAAGAGCCACCGCCGGGCGGGGGCAACGCTCGACTTTTTCCTTGTTCTAAAAGCAAACAAAGAACTGTTTGAACAAATCTTAACGTTTCCTTTTTATAAATTTAATCGGTCTGTCTTGTCACATTAGTTTTAATTGACCTAGACAGGAATGTTGATCAGCATGTGTAGTTGTGCACCTGGGTATTTTTATGTGGATATATGTAGTATTTTTTAGAGGTATTGCCCTTGACTTAGTAAAACTTTGCAATTTTCAACTTGTGTCGCACGTAACACAAAAAATATTTGACATAGAGTCATGAAACCTTACAGGAATGTTGATCAGCATGTGAAGTTGTACACCTGGGTATTTTCATGTGGATATATTTTGTATTTTAAGAGTTATTGCCCTTGACTTAGTAAAAATTTGCAATTTTAACTTGTGTCGCACGTAACTCTAAAAAATTTGACCTAGAGTCATGAAACCTTACGGGAATGATGATCAGCAAGTGTAACTGTGCACCTTGTTATTTTTGTGTGGATATATCTAGTATTTTTATAGTTTTTGCCCTTGAATTAGTAAAAATTTATAATTTTCAACTTGTGTCGCACGTAACTCAAAAAATATTTGACATAGAGTCATGAAACCTTACAGGAATGTTGATCAGCATGTGAAGTTGTGCACCTGGGTATTTTCGTGTGGATATTTTTAGTATTTTGAGAGTTATTGCTCTTGACTTATTTACCTGTGTTGCACGTAACTCAAAAAGTTTATGACCTGTAGGCCTGAACGTTTACAAGAATGTTGGTCAGCATGTGTAGTTATGCTCCTTGGGGGTTTCTTGTGGATTTATTCAGTATTTGTAGTACTAGTATTTGCCCTTTACTTAATAAAAGACTTTTAGTTTTCAACTTGGGCACATGTAGCCAAAAAAAATATTTGACCTAGAGACATAAGATAGACAAATCGGTGGAGTGTGGGGGCACCCGTGTCCTATGGACACATTTCTAGTTATGAATATAGGATAAAGTATACTTATTACGAGTTTGTGAATAATAAGATTATTGGAATCATTAGATTTATTCATTGCGTGACTATATGTATACGAATAATTAGACTTATTTTTATAGGAATAATCGGACTAATCAGCACAGAAAATGAAACACTTGCCACTGCTTTTCAAAAGGTTAGTTTATGTTTTTAAATTTACCTGCAATTTTCTACAAGATATTATACAAATGTACCAGCAGTAAAATATTTCTGTAAATATCAAAGTTGTAAAATAACTTGTGCGTGTAGTATTGATAGGCGTGTAAAACATTATTGATAAGTCCCAGATAAACTATTTATATGGTATATATGTGACATGAAATATACTTTTACCCGTTTTTTTACACAAATGACCGCCATTTACATATAACGGAATAAGCTCACAAACGCAACAGTCATTTTGAGGTTCTAGTTTTAATATACAAATTTAGTCTTTTAACATAGTCGATATTTGGCCAATCTCTATATACATATTCAAAGTAATATTGAATTCAAAAATATGTATATGAGCTAATTCATAAACAACGCAGCTGAAATCAGCTTTAATTTTAAACATTTATAAATGACACATTTTATATACCCTTAGGCTGTACTAGTGGGGCGGGAAATAAGGTCTCTGCTGTCAAAATAGTGCAAATTGTGATACAAGCATGAAACTTTCAGGAAATTATCTTTAGACCATGTAGATTTCAAAAGTGAAGTGGGCCCAAATATATCTCTGCACATTCAAGATGGCCGCCATTTTCAAGATGGCCGCCATATAAATTTGACGTACATAATAGCTCATTCATTCCAATTTTTTGTACAGACTTGAAACTTACACCAAAGCATGCATATAGTTTCCCCTTTTCAAATATGTAAATCTTTAAGCAATTTCGCTGGCATATTTCTTCAGAATCCAAGATGGCGTCCAATATGGCTGCCAATTTTAATGAAAACTGATATATCTCTTTTGTAGTATAATTTTTTGCACACAGTATGCTTATTTCCATATAAAATTGTTGAACATATTAGAATAAAAATCAAATTTTAGGTTAACCACATTGTTAGTCATGTTTTTAGTTTTTTGTACAAAAAAAAATCTTTAACAATATCAAAGAAAAAGTGCAACTTTTTGCATTTTTCTCTAACATGGTTTTCTAGGTCTATGTACAAAATTCCAAAAGTTACATAGTTTCTTAAAGTGTATTTGATATTGAATCAACACTATGTTTTATTGTATAATTGTAACAAAAACGAAAAATATGAAGGTTTTATACTTATTCAAAGTGGGTGGGGTAAATTTATCAGACAATTGTAGTACAAAATAACGTCTTTTTTGAATTCTTATGCAAATATTCACTGTAAAAGTATTTTATTGTATTAAGGTATTTTGGTCTTCCTTCAGGTCTAGAGGGTGTACTAAAATATCAATAAATGCAGATACAATTATATGTATACATTCAGTTATTAAATGTGTTTGCATGATATAAGTTGTTTCAATATTCTTAATATAATTTGTTTCAATATTCTTAATATAATTTGGTAATTGTACAGAAAGAAGACTGAATATTCATCAACGAACCATATGTTAGATAAAATCATGCCTGGACCTGAGTGAAATGTTGTCTATTTATGAATAAAATTATTTCCTGGACAATTTAGTCTTGCTAAATGCTTGTAACAGAATGATTCAAAGTTATATTTACTTGCACATCTTTGTAACCAAGTAAAATTGAGTTAGTACTGTCCATTTCTAATAACTTATGTAGACATGATATTTTAAAAAGAAACAAAAATTAAGGCGACTGATACATCATATTATCTATGTGTGCTAAAATGGGTATCAATAAAACCACTTGACCCACATAACATAGCTTATGATTTGGAATATAAACTAAATGTATTCATACTTTATTTTCCCCATTAAACAATAGAGAATAGTTGACCCTAGATCACTCGCCTTAGATCCACTGCTGGAATTTTAAGGTCTATAATTCTTTAATACTGAAGAATGCTAAAATCATATAAGGAGTATCTTTTTTCACCAAATACAGTCATGATTTATATACTATTTGAAAAGAAACATGCCCAATAACTAGGCTCTCAGAACTACAAAAAGACTCATATAACTATATTCCAATAAGAGTCCATGTAAACTAAGTGATTTTGACCCTATGCCAAAATAGTTCATAATCTTTATATAGCATCACAATGTGATGATATACGATATATTTTCTTCTATATACACTGTAGTTTCGGAGAAGAATTTTATTATATAAGTCAATGTAAACAAAGTGACAGGTAAAGCCATTTTGGACTGAAGGAGCATGATTTAAAGGCCCTCACGAGGAACACAGTTTTTAAAGACCTGTGTAGGGAATCTTATTGAAGTTTTTTTGTTGTTGTTGATATTTAAAAAAATCAACAAACAAAGAAACTACAATGACTAGAGCTTAGATAGCCACCATATAATCTTGCCAAGTAAAGAAGACCTCTTTTAAAGTTTCATTAAACACTTTTGGATCATTAAGTGTACATGTAAAATTAAAAATCTTCTCAAAAATCCAAATGCACAGAGCACAGGTACTAAGCATGTAGCCCCACCTTGTGTCTTTATTAACATATTTAATGTATCATGCTCATAGAGCCACCTGGGTTCACAGTCTTGTATAGGAAAACACATTAAAACATCAAGTGTTAAACAACAATGACTTGAACTAAGATATTTGGGATGTAGCCTGATATAACATGCATACATTTGTATGATGCTACTGCAGTCTAAAATGGTTTTGCAATGAGTATCACTTAATTTACAAAGACTAATGTATTAAATCTGTTTTCTCCTAACCAACAGTATCCAACGCATAGACATTAATCATGTATCATCATAATTGTGTTATACTCTACAAATATTTGATATATCATGGTCAACATGGTCAAAATTTACTAAGTTTATATGGACTCATATATGAATATGGTTATTAAAGTCCTCTCGTGTGAAAAAAAAATGAAACTAGATATTGAGCATGTTTCTTTAAACGCAACTGGATTCAATTATGACACAAATCATGTGTGTTATGACATAATTGACACTCCCAAAATGATCTTGTTACCTTTTTTCCAACAATGATCTTAGGTGAGTGATTCAGGGTCATCATTGCCCTCTTATTGAAAGAAAAAAATGAGATATGATTACTTAAGAAATACACTTACTTTGTATCTTAACTTTTCAAAAACCTGCATGCAGGCCAGGCCATATCATTGATATATCTGTTTCACATCATATACATTTTGTTGGCTTTTAAGCCATGTTAATATTATAAATATAAAATTGTGAAGGAGTCAAAAATATGCGTTTATGAACTACCTTTATACCTTACATTCATGTACATGCTTGCTATTTTAAGCACGTTTAGTTGATTTATTGTCTTCTTATATGTCTTCACAATTAACAATTAATATATGATATCAAATATATTGAAACAATAATTATCATGCAACCAAATTTAATAACTGAATGTATACACATGTTTGTATGTGCATTTCTTGCTTAGCCACTTGGCCTGAAGGAAGACAAAAATACTTTCATCCAATAAAAACTACTTTTTAAGTTGGAACATTTACATTAGAATTCATAGAAAAGCAAAAAGGCAAAGAAATAGAATGAACTTAGCTATGTTTATTTTCTGTTGTTTTTTCTTTTACAATAATTACCGTATAAAATTACCCCACCCACTTTCACAAAATATAAATCCTACAGATTTAATGTTTTTCTTATATTTTTTACAATAAACACATGATATTAATGGAATGTCAAATACAGTTTAAGATATAAAGTTACTTTTTTTAACTTTGTACATTAATTAAGGAAATCAAATTTGAAAAATATGAAAAAAATGGATTTTTTTCTTGATCTTTCTAAAAGATATTTCTAAGACAAAAACTTTTAAAATGTTTACTTTTATTGAGATTAACATATAATTTGATTATCTCTGATATGTTTAAACACTTTTTATCATAATAAACATAATTTGTGCAACAAATTATACTATAAAAATGATATAACAGTTTTGCACAAAATCGACGGCCATATTGGACGCCATCTTAGATTTGGAAGAGGTATGAAAGAGAAATTTTGTAAGATTTAAATTTTTGAAAAGGAGAAACTATATGCATGCTTTTGGTGTTAGTTAAAGGTCTCTACCAAAAATTGGAATGAATGAGCTAGTATGTACGTCAAATGTATATAGCGGCCATTTTGAAAATGGCGGCCATCTTGAATGAGCAGAGATATTTTTGGGCCCACTTCTTTTTTGAAATCTACATGGTCTAAAGATGATTTCCTGAAAGTTTCACGCTTGTATCACAATTTGCACTATTTTCTCAATTTCCCGCCCCACTATACAACTACCGTGATGTAGTACGCCGTATTAAAAATACTATATAAAAGGTTCGACAGAAAAGCACACAAACTACATAAATACAAGGAACATAGAAATCTGTTAAAAATGTCTTAACCAGGTAAGCCTAACGATTTATTTGATTCAGTTTTCACAACATTAATGCAAAACACGAATAACTGATTATTTACTGATTATGTTTTAACGTCTTTTTTAGGTAATTGATCTAACGAATGACGAAACTGTTGATACGAGTCATGATAATAATAACGGAAATTATTTAGAAATAAATGCACCAATTACAAACCATGTAATATTTTTCAATAATAAACATAAGATAATTTAAATGTTTAAAGGGCATTCGTCTGATCTATTTAAATTATATTTTTAGATATTGATGTATTAATTTTATAATATTTTTTTTTAAATCTTCTAAATTATTGCATGAATAATTTACCACGTTTTGATATAGATTTTTATTTCTATTTTTGCGACGGACGCGCCCCCAGGCGCGTTCAGAGCTATGTCATCTACACATGGGATTTCGTCGGCTACAATCGCGCAATGTGTCCTCAACCGAATAATAGCCCACGAAATAGTACATGAATTTGATCCTATGAAACTCCCATACTTCGTCGGGATATCTTAAAAACTTCCATATTTAGCCTTTTCAATTTCAAATTAAGTTATCCAAGTTAAAATATAAACGTATTTGATTGGTAAAAACGCTGTAACCCCGTAGTATTATTGCGCA